TGGAGGCCTGGCCTGGAGTGGGGGGTGGGGCGGGGACAGACGGGAGGAGCCTGGTGAGCGGGACCTGGTGAGTGGGAGGAGCCTGGTGGGCGGGCCCTGGCAGGTGGGAGGAGCCTGCTGGGGCGGGAATGGGGAGGTGGGAGGGACCTGGTGGGCGGGGCCGGCCAGGTGGGAGGAGCCTGGCCTGGCGGCAGGACCCTCCATTTACTCCAGCGCCTGCCTCACACCTTGGGCTCTTGCAGAGGACCCGGCCTACACCCCCAGAGAGTGCTTCCAGCGCATCAGCCGGCGTCTGCGAGCCGTCCTCAAACGGAGCCGCATCCCCATGGTGAGTACCAGGCTGGGCCCGTCGCCTCGCCTGCCTGCCTCAGCTTCTCAGTTGGGGCGGCGTGAGGGGAGACCCGTCTCCCACCGCGCGCGTGCTGTGACGGAGACAGGGCCGGGTACGCACCGGTGGGATCTGACCACAGGACCTAGGGCTGGGCAAGGGCTCTTCTTGACGGTGGGCGCTGCAGGATGTGTAGGCGAGCACCAGGCACCAGGTGCAGGCACTCGAGGTGATAGCGGTACCTCGGTGCCTGGTGTTCCTGGATCCGGTTAAACAACCTCATGGAGCCAGTCAGAGGCCACATGTGAACCCAGGGCTTTGGGCTCCCGGGGCTGTCCCCAGCAGGGGCGACATGGACAGCCTGGCCAAGATCCCAAAGTCGGCTGACCCCTGGGCCCGTGTGTCCTGCAGGAAACGCTGGAGACCTGGGAGGAGCGGCTGCTGAGGTTCTTCTCCGTGTCCCCCCAGGCCGTGTACACGGCCATGCTGGACAACAGGTGACGGGTGGGGGCGGGCACCGTGAGCTCGCTGGTGGCTGCTTCTTGCCAGCGGTCACTCACCATCCGTTCCTCCACAGCTTCGAGAGACTCCTGCTCCACGCCGTCTGCCAGTACATGGACCTCATCTCAGCCAGTAAGTGCCGACGTCCCCAGGACCTCCCATGAGCCCATTCGGCCGGAGGAAACTGAGGCTACGCAGGGTCTGCTCCCTCAGCGGGAGGCTTGGCGGGGGGCGGGGGGAGGCTGCAGGACGCTGCCTTAATTCATCAGAGGCTCCTGTGATCCTGGCCCCACCCCAGGTGACACTGTGGACATTGACACTCCTTCATCCACATCCCCCGGGGCCAGGGGAGAGAGGGGACCGTGTGCGGGTTATGAAGCGGGGCCTCGAGGGGCCCCAAAATGAGATGAAGGTCCCCCAGTGTCTTCAGTGTCCTCGTTTAGCCATAGCGCCCCTTCACTGTGGCACACATGTGGCACACGAGTGCCCCCACCTGGGGCCTGTGTTCCCACTTTAGAAAGAGGGTGGTCTTGGGACACAGCCCCCTACCCCAGGGAGGGTGCTTGCAGGCCCTTGCTGGCCCTGGGTGCCCCCATTGGGTCCTCATTCCCCAGTTGGGTCTCTCTGCTTCCTGCCTGGAGTTGCTGAGGAGACGGTTCCCATGGCAACCCCAGGATGGTTCCATCTGGCCGCCCCCTGGTGCTCCCTGGGGAAAGTAGCCCCCAAACTTGTCTTTGTTCCCACAGACTCGGGGTAGAGAGGCTGGGCCGGGGTGCCTCAATGTAGGAGCCGTTCAGCAGCCTGAACACAAAGGATTTGGGGCCTCAGCAAGACGGGGAGCAGGGGGAGCAGGGGATAGGGAACAGCCGGGCCTACAGGAGGAAGTGGGAGCGGGCTTCAGAGTCAGCCCGTACCCGTCTAACCACGGAATGAGGAACAGTGGAAGAAACAAGTTGTCTGGGGAGCCGGTCCTGGGACCTGGGGGTCCCGGTAAGCCAGACCCCACGTGCCCGCTTGCAGTGACCTGCAGCCCAGCAGGACCCGGCCCTGGCCTTCCTTCCATTCTGGCCCCACTTGTCCCCTCTGGCAGGTGCCGACTTGGAGGGCAAGAGGCAGATGAAGGTCAGTAACCGGCACCTGGACTTCTTGCCTCCTGGGCTGCTCCTGTCCGCCTACCTGGAACAGCGCAGCTGATGGCGGCCGCCTGCCTGCCCCATCCCCCGTGACCACGTCCCATATCATCCACTAAAATGTTGGTTATTTTTGGAATTTGTCCTTGGAAACATGCTCTCCCCCTTGGGGTCGCCGTCTCTCACCCTGACCCAGCCCCCGCCAGGTAAATGGCAGGTGGCCGGGGCTGCCCCAGACTCTCCCGGGGGCCCCCATAATGCCCAGCTCTGGGACTTGTGTTTGGGTGGGGAGACCTGGCCTGTTCACTTCCATGTTCCTTCTTCCTTCAGCTTTTCTGGCCCAGTCTGAAGCTTAAGCGAGGAGGGGGAGCCCGGATTTTTATCACTTTTAATTAATTTGGCGTGATTTGTTGTAGATTTTTAAATTTCCCTTTGGGAAGAAAAACCAAATACTCGCCCCAACTGATAAATCAGGGGGCTTCGTTCTAGTCCCTGCTTGACCCCCATCCCAGTTTTTGGCTAGGATGGGGGGGTCTCTGGGGTGCTGCCCCTCACCCCAGGAGCGTTGTTACGTCTTGTGTGCGTGCAGATGTGTGTGCATGCCAGCGCCCCGCAACCCAGGTCAAGCTGCGTCTTAAAGGCTGGTTTTGCCCTCATTTTGGAATGTGTGTTGTCCTCCCCTGGTGCCTTTCGATGGCTCTTGGGGCCCCACCTGCCCTACTACCCCCCCAAACTTTTCTCCCCATCTCTTCATCCTGGGGGTCTGGGACTTCCAGCCAGAAGCCTCCGCCCTCATTCCCCTCTCCGCCTCCCCTTCCCTGCTCTCCCCCAGTCTAGTTCTGGCTCGTTGCTTTGGGGTGTCCTCCTGCTGGTCACCTGACCTGGCCCACAAGAGCCAGGCTGGGGGCCCCCACTCCCGTGTGTGTGATTAGTTGCACATTGAAAAAGTGGAGCGTTCAATAAATTTCTGGTGCTCTGGTATCCAGCTGTGCGGTTTTCTTTGGGAGCAGCGCTGGGGGCACAGTGGCGCGCAGGATGCTCAATAAATTTCTGGTGCTCTGGTATCCAGCTGTGCGCTTTTCTTCGGGAGCAGCGCTGGGGGCACAATGGCGCGCAGGATGCGCTTGGGTCTTGGTCACAGGGCTGTGGGCCTGGGGGGAGGAGCTTCGCGCTAAGGGGTGGAGCTTCGTGCTGAGTGACACCCGGAGGGTGAGGCGGGTGGCCCTTGACTCTGCCGCCCTGGCCCCTCCCCGGTGCCCAAGTTCAAACCCGAGCTCCGCCACTTCCGAGCCGCTTCACTTCCAAAAGTCACCCTATGAAGTCCCCAGGGCAGCGGGAGCAAAATACCCCACCCACACTGCAATAAAATACCCTCCGCTGCGGCCAGAAACCGCGGGGTTTTACTGTCTCTCGGTTCTGGGGCCAGATGTCCCCACTCAAGGTGTCGCAGGGCCGCGCTCCCTCCGGAGGCTCCAGGGAGTGTCCTTCCCGGGGATTCCGCGTCCCTTGGCTTGTGGCCACATCCGTGCCGCGTCTGCCTCCACTGTCCGTGGCCTCTCCCTGTGTCTCTGCTCATCGTCTTCCCTCTGTGTGTGTCTGGGACCGGCCGGGAGTCCTGCAGGACGTCCGCAGTCTGGGTTTTCTGGTGTTTTTCTCATGATCGCACTGAGGGATGTGCCCCACTCATCCTGTCGCATCAGGATCCCTGCTGTCCCACTGCTCCTCACGGCTGACATTGTCTCGGTGGGGATGCTGGTCAGGTTTCTGCACTGGGAAGCCCCTGCTCCCCCTGACCCCGTCCCCACCAACACACGCACACACTGCCCTCTGAAGGGGTCGCTGAAGTGGGAGCTATTCTGGGGGCTTCTGCAGGGGAGGCTTTTTTCTTGTCCCGGTGCCTATGTTAAGTCTTTTATATCAGTGTCGAGGTGTGGGTATTTCCCTCCTATGTTAGGGCGTAATCCGGTATGACTTCAATTTTAATTGCAGAAGTGACTCCAAGATTGGCCGCTGGGAGCTCTCCCGGGGGCAGGGGGGGCCGTGTCTCTCTGAGACGCCCCCGACATCGTGGGGGTTTTATTTCGTGAGCACGGTGCTGACTTCCTGCCACTCCAAGACGCTTCTGCTTTGCTGGGGCCTTTTACATGGCGCCGTGTTAGAATCCGCTGGGTGATGGGTGCGCTGTATTCCATTTTAACATGCATTTAAGCAGGTTTAAAGGTAGACACTCAGCAGTGGAAATCCAAATTGCCGGGACTTTCGACAAAAGGAGCTTTCTGAGTCTCCAGCTCAGAAGCTCCCATCTGCAAAGGGGACCGAGTTCCCAGTTTCGGTGAGGACAGGCCTGGGCCCCAGGTCTGAGCCCCGGGAGGGCCCGCAGGCTGCTCCCACTGGCACGCGGGGTCAAGGCCTACCCTGGCCCTCTGCTGGCATCGTCGGCTTCTTCCCAGCCCTCTTCTCCAGCCCCGCGCGACCGTCCCTGCGGTCCCATGGGGTCCCCCCCTCCCCCCCCGGGGCAGACCCTGCAAACTGCGGAAAGTATGGCAGGAACGCAAGCAGCTTTAGGGGGAGGAACTGGGGATGCGGTTTGAATCCAGAAGGACTTCAACTGGCTAAGTCACCTACCCGGCTCGTGGTGCCTCGATTTCACCACCCGTGAACAAAAGTAGAAGGGGTACAGAGCGAGCGGAGTTAGCTTTGAGAGGAGAGGGTGAGGCCGGGTTGCTGGGGGCCTCCCCTGTCCCGCCCCGGTCTCCCCGCCCGCGGATGCCGCGAAGGCAAAAATATGGAACGCTTCACGAATTTGCGTGTCATCCTTGCGCAGGGGCCATGCTAATCTTCTCTGTATCGTTCCAATTTTAGTATATGTGCTGCCGAAGCGAGCACGAATCCACGGTACCCCCGGAAGCTATTTAAAGCCCAAGGTTAAAATTTCTTTACGGTAAGGGTGAATTCCGTTACCGAAGTTCAGTAACCCCTACTTATACGATATTAGTGAAAAATATAGTCTAGCGAAGTGGAGTCATGCCCCAGAGTCGAGAAAGTGTTTCTTAGTCTACCCGATAAAACCGTGGTGGCTGCTGGGACCCTATTAAAGCACCTATGCAAATAAGCCCGGAAGCGAGGCGGAGCCGGAGCCGCCACCGTCCCAGAAGCCCCTGGGAAGCAGCCGCGCTGCGCGGGCGACTCGTTGGTCGCGGGGAAGACGGCGGCGCTGGAGCCGCGCAGTTCGGGCGAGTGCGCGCTGCGGCCGCGGCGCCCGGGCCCACGGTGAGCACGGGGCTCCGGGTCCCGGAGGGGTCGGCCGGCCTCCGGGCGACCCCGGGGAGCGCGGCCGGGGGAGGCGGGGCCTGCGGGGTCAGAGGGCGAGTCTGGACAGCAAAGCGTTCTGGGTATGCGGCCCGGCGCGCGCGGGGCGTGGTCTGGGGGTTGCGGTGGAATCTTGGGGTCCGGAGCCGGGGGAGGAGGGGTGGGGGGGATTAGGGCGCGTCCGAAGGATTGTCTCTCCCTGGGGAGGGCCGTGGGGTGAATTCGGGGCAGGGCTTGAGGGTTATGGGGGACTTGGGGGCGAGACCTAGACATGGCGTGGGGTCCCTGGGACAAATGGAGTTGGGACCTGGAGAGCCAGGTGCATGGGGCCGGGGCTTGGAAAGCAAAACCTGCTGGGGAAGGGGCTGGAAGGCTTTGGGGACTGATCTAGGGTTCGTTTGGGGTCCCTGGGGTGGAGCCTGAGAGTTTAGGGTGGGCCTGTGGGCTCAAGGGGCAAATTGGGAGCAGCGTCTGGAAAACAGAGATCCAAAGGGATGGGGATGGGGATGGAGGGCTTTGGAGGCGCAGCTTAGCGTTGAAGGGGCTTGTGGCCGGGCGGGAAGAAGTGGGGCCGTCGAGGTAGTGAGTGAGAAAAACTGGGGGTGATCCCTGGACTAATGGTCTCGCTGGACTTTTGTGACTGGGAAAGGGGATAAGCTGCAGTCGGTGCGGGGCGCGTGGAGAAGCCGAGGAAACCTTGGCCGTTGCCGTTAGTTACACCTGGCAAGTCTCACACCCCAGACCAAACTGCTGACTGCCCCCAGCCTGTCTCCCCAGCTCGGCCAGAGGCAGCCGCACCCCCCAGCCCCGTGCCCTGCTGCAGGATAGACCCAGGCTCCCACCCCTTCTCACGGTTTCCACTGGCCCCTCATGTGCGCCTGGACCAGGGCAGCCACCTGCACCCGGTCCCCCAGCCATACCCTGCAGACAGCTGGAAGCATCCTGTTGAAACAAATAGGTCACAGCCTTCCTGAATCTCCGACCTCATCTAGGGTGAAAGCCCACTGGGCCCTGCACGGCCTGCCCCACCCTCACCTAGGCCACCTGGCTCGATCCAGCCTCTGCCTTTGTACTGGCTCTTGCTTCCCAAGATGCGTGCATGTCTTGGCAGGCGCCCTCACGCCTGTGTCGTGCGTCCCCTGGCGAGGCCTCCCCGGCCCCTCCCCTCACACAAGACCCAAGGTCATAGAGCGGACCCTTGTCATTCCCCATGGTGACCCAGCGTCCCGCACGACATTCAGCGAACACCGTGGCAAGCCAGTCCTCTCTGTCCCTCTCTCCCTCAGGTGACTGTCCTCGGGAAGGGGCCTGACCTGTGGCGGGTGGGCACAATGGATCTGGCCTATGTCTGCGAGTGGGAAAAATGGCCCAAGAGTACGCACTGCCCGTCAGTGCCCCTGGCCTGCGCGTGGTCCTGCCGCAACCTCATCGCCTTCACCACGGACCTCCGGAACGACGACCAGGGTGCGTCCCCTCGCCCCCGGCCCGGCCCCCTCCCCACACGGGCTCCCACCGTACCTGGAGCTGCAGTGGGGCAACTCGTGTGTCTCCAGGCCGGCCTGGGAGCCACACCCTAGCTGTCCGGGCCCTCTCAGGGCTTGCTCATTTGCAACTGGGGTGGCGAGGACCCCAGCCTCGCAGGGGTGCAAAGGGCAGATGCGTTCAACTGCTGGCTGCTGAGATAGTGCTCCCCCACACCCGACGCCTGGGGGATGCTGGGGTCTCCCCTGTGGGATGGAAGGGGCCGGGCGGGGGGAGGTAATTCCACTCAGGCTTGCTGGGGCTAGGGCCTCAGTTTCCAGACTGTACGTGTCACTGTTCGGCTTTTGAAAGCCGCCGAGGTGCACGGCCACCAGCTTACCATGTCTCCGTCTCTCGCGTAATGTGCACTCGGTAGAGACGGTTTGAAACGCACAGGAATCGAGATTAAAAAAGACTATGTGTTATTGTCCATGGAGAGAGCCCTGCATTTTAGGGTCATTTCCTCACAATTCCATTTCTCGGGTTTCTTTTTTGAAAACGTGTTTGTAGACACACTGGTGGCAAACCGCAGGCCTGCTCTGCCCTCCCGAGGGGACACGAGCCTGCTCCCATTGGTGCCCAGGCTGTCGTTGTGGGCAGCAGCATCTCCGTGACTTCCCTGTCAGGGGGGTGATCGCTGGGTTCCTCCCTGAGTTCCTCCGGGTCATTGGGCGCTTCGGGCCACGTCCCCGTCGCCCTGCTGACCATGCCCCATCCCTCGCAGACCTGACCCGCCTGATCCACATCCTGGACACGGAGCACCCCTGGGACGTGCACTCCATCAACTCGGAGCACAGCGAGGCCATCACCTGCCTCGAGTGGGACCAGTCAGGTGACGGTGGGGCCGGGGGTCCTGCCCGGCCGAGGGAGACCACGGCGATGGCCCCGAGTCCCAGGGCGATGTGCTCTTTTTCCTAGTCACGGCCCCAGAGCTGGGACTCGAACCTCCGACCTGTGGCTTTGCAGCCAGTGCTTCCTGTTCCCCGCGTCCAGAGCCGTCACTGCGGCATGCCTTGTGCCACTGCCCTGCTCCAGCTCCGCCGGGCTGGCCCCTCCCAGGCTCCTCATGTGCTGCGGGTGACTGGCCTTGCCCGTGGTGCGGTCTGGGATGCAGGTGTGTCCCCACAGGCTCCCGGCTCCTGTCAGCTGATGCCAATGGACAGATCAAGTGCTGGAGCATGGCGGACCACCTGGCCAACAGCTGGGAGAGCCCCGTGGGCAGCCTGGTGGAGGGGGACCCCATCGTGGCCCTGTCCTGGCTGCACAATGGTGTGAAGCTGGCTCTGCACGTGGAGAAGGTGGGGGTCACACCTGAACGGGATGAGGGCATTTCCGCTACCCGTCCACCGCCCAGCCTGGCCCCCTCCCCCACCCCGCCCAGCACCCTTCGGGTTTTGGAACCACGTGCCTGGCTCACAGCTTCTGTCCAGCTGTCACTTGGCTCCTGTGTGTCTAGTGGGCCACCCGTTTAACTGATGGCTCCTGTCCTCAGAACTCAGCCTACCCTTTGATTCAGTAACATTCTAGGGTTTTTTTCACCGTACCGTGTAGTTAGGCCGGCATCACGGTTAAGAGTGGGGGCCACCTGGGTCGGGGGTGCTGAGTGCAGATCCCGACTTCGCACCCCTGTGCACCACGTTGCTCACCATCAGATGGGCTTGGTGATGCATCATGGTGATGTCAGTGAGCGCAAAGGCGTGACGGCTCAGCTCGGGGCCCAGGAGGCTGCATTCCGTCCCAGCTCACCAAGGAGGAGGCACCAGTGTCCCAGGCCACTGCGTGAAGCCCTGTCGCACCCCCCACCCCCTCTCGGTGCTGTTTCACGGGTTAAACACATTTGTCAGGGTCACGGAACCACATGCTTAGAAAAGGGTGAATTTTGTTACACGGGAATTGTAACTTAAACCTAATTTGCCAAGATACGATAGTGACGATGTAGCAGCAGCAGCACGGACTGGGAGGGCTCGTCCTGGGTGCTTCAGTGCAGAGAGTGGTCTGTAAATGCAGGGGAAGAGTGGGTGGTCTCAGAGGAGGCCCCCCGGCCCCCGAAAATGCCGAGCGTCTGGCCCTTTACGGGGGAAGGTTGTTGGCCCCTGTCCTGCACGGGTTCAGTCAGTGGACCCTCCCCATGGTCCTCCAGCACAGAGGAGGAGACTGAGGGTCAGGGAGGCCACGTCACATGGTGCTCAAGTGGCCGAGGCAGGATTCGAACCATGCTCTGGCTTCTGCCTCCTTGTTCGCCCCTTTCCGTGGGTGTGACTCCTGGAAGGGGGTCGTCGGGTCGCCTCTTACGGCTGGGCGGGGTGTCTTGGGGGCCCTGGGCGGGGGGTGCAGGTACTGAGCAGACCCTCCCCCCTTCCCCCGCAGTCAGGAGCCTCCAGCTTTGGGGAGAAGTTCTCCCGCGTCAAGTTCTCGCCGTCGCTCACGTTGTTTGGGGGCAAGCCCATGGAGGGCTGGATCGCGGTGACGGTCAGTGGCCTGGTCACCGTGTCCCTGCTCAAGCCCAGTGGGCAGGTGCTGACGTCGACAGAGAGCCTGTGCCGGCTGCGGGGCCGTGTGGCGCTGGCCGACATCGCCTTCACGGGCGGTGGCAACATCGTGGTGGCCACAGCGGACGGCAGCAGCGCGTCGCCCGTGCAGTTCTACAAGGTGTGCGTGAGCGTGGTCAGCGAGAAGTGCCGCATCGACACCGAGATCCTGCCCTCGCTCTTCATGCGCTGCACCGCGGACCCCAACCGCAAGGACCGGTTCCCCGCCATCACCCACCTCAAGTTCCTGGCCCGCGACATGTCAGAGCAGGTGCGCCCCGCCCTCGGCCACAGGGCTCTAGCCCGGAGTTGGGGGAGGGACCCTCCCAGCCCCCACCAGCTTCCAGAGGCCCCGCCCCCTCGTCACAGATGGCGGCGCCATCCCTTTGTGACCCTCCCGTGAGGGCGCTGGGCCCCGGGAACCAGGCTCATCCCCTCCCAGGGGCCTTGACTGGGTCCCAACCGCTGCCACGAGAGGGCGTGGCGCAGGTCGTGGGACAGGGACATCTCAGCTGACCCCCGCGGGTCACCCTCGTGCCCATCGTGACCATGCAGCAGCAAGGCCCAGCTTGCACCAGGGAGGGTGCCAGCGGGTGGTGGGCTGGCGGGCGGGCCTGGGTTCGAATGCACAGTAGCTGTGAGGTCGGGGCTGGTGTGAGCGATCAGGGGACCGGGGGACGGAGGCCCAGGGAGGGGAGGTGGCCGGGTCACGTGGCCAGCCCCGAGCCTGGGGTGTGGGGTGTGGCGAGCACGGCCCCAAGGTGTGGGCGTCGAGGCGCTGCATGCTCGTGAGCAGCTGCCTCCTACAGGTGCTCCTGTGTGCGTCCAGCCAGACGAGCAGCAGCGTGGAGTGCTGGTCCCTGCGGAAGGAGGGGCTCCCCGTGAACAACGTCTTCCAGCAGATCTCCCCCGTGGGTGAGCCCCGCGGGCGGCTGCAGCATCTGGCTTAATATGAGGAAACCGGGACTCGGGGGCAAGGTGCTGCCTACAGCCACCTGGACTACCTCACCCCGAAGCCTCCTGCGGGGACCGTGTTCCTGGGGGACGGTGTGAAGGTCCAGGGGCCTGGCTTGGAGTGCAGCAGGGGCCTCAGGGAGGCACTCAATTCTGAAGCCCCAGAATCTTCCAGAAATTTTGGCATCACATGAGGAAACAGGCTGGAGGCTTAACTGAGTTTGCCAAGGACACCCCCCCTCCACTGGCCTCACTTCTCCCTGCCCGGTCCTCGAGCCACTCAGAGCCCCCATGGCTTAGGGTGCCCCAAGACCCCCCGCCAAGACCAGCCCCCACCTCCCCGACAGACCCTGGGACGCGCCCGCAGGGGAAGCCACTTGGTTCTGTGGGCTGAAGCAGAGTTCAGAGTTCGGGTGGAGTATAGTCCCGTCCCCAGCCTCACGTCACCTCTCCCCGAGACGCAGGTGTTCTGGCGCCCCACAGAAGAAAGCCGCTTTCGCTGATTAGCGCTAATGGGCCCTGGAGTGGTTGGCCCGCGGGGGGTGCCAGACAGAAGCTGCTGATGAAAGCTGTCCAGAGGCCCCTGGTGGCTCCATCCCCTGCCATGTGGGTTACATAAGCTGCCATTAACGTGGGGAGGGCCGGGGCCACCCTGTCCGGGAGCTTGCAGACAGCAGCTGGTGGCCCCGCAGGGGGCCTCTGCCCTAGCTTGATGGTGACCAGCCCCGTGGCCTCGCGTGTGCTGGTCAGGAAGGGGGGTGTAAGTGGCTGGGCCCAGTGCCCTGCCCAGATCCCCACCTGTTGTGGTGGTCCCCTTTACACTCTGTGGTGTTGTTTGTGGCGGATGCTGAATTCCACTCTGACCTTGCTGGGCCTCGGTTTCCCCTGAGAGGCAACGTTTATGGGGACAGCTCGAGGCACAAGTCTGGAGACACGTGGGTGACAGAGAGGAACCTTGTGACAGTCAATTTTGCCGTGTAACAAAGGAGCCCTAAACTCAGGCTTAAAACTTCAGCCTGTTGCTCTGGGCTGCCCTCAGCCTCAGGCGGGCTGCTGACACCGGCTGGCCTGCTGACACCGGCTGGCCTGCTTCTGTGTCTCTGCCCCGCAGCCCAGCCTGTGGCCTCGGGGTCTCTGAGCCTCTGCTCACCCACTGGCCACGCCCAGATTCACGAAGTCACTCCAGCTTTTGGGGGGCTTCATCACCATGTGAGGGGTTCGTGCATCTTACCTGGTGGGAAGAGCTGGGGCCCCTCCGGGATCTCTTAGATCAAAGGCACAGAAAGCCAGACGCAGGCTGGTCCAGTCTTGTGGGCTGTCGGGGTTTGAGTGGCAGCAAGGCCTGGGTGCTGCTTCTCAGTGCATCGGGTCTGTCCAGGGGACAAGGGGGCAGCCGCTGGCGCCGACTGACAGCCCCTCGGCTGGGGTAAGGCTCTCAGTGATCAGGGACCCCCAGGAGGAGTAGGTGCTGGGGTCAGAGAAGGGGGCTCAGCTGGCATCCCCTGAGGGGGCCTCTGTCATGGCGTTGGTCTTCACGCTGCTGCCGTGCTGTGTCCCTGCCTCCTTTCCAGTTGGCGACAAGCAGCCCATGATTCTGAAGTGGCGGATCCTGTCGGCCACCAACGATCTGGACCGCGTGTCTGCCGTGGCGCTGCCCAAGCTGCCCATCTCGCTCACCAACACCGACCTGAAGGTGGCCAGCGACACGCAGTTCTACCCTGGCCTCGGTAGGCAGCTTTGACGCGAGCTTTGGTCCTGGGTGCCCGTCGGTTCCCAGCGAGCGGGACCCGTCGGGCTTGAAGGGCTGAGGCTGGGTGACGGAGGGCCGTGTCTTCAGTTTGTGAGGAGCCATCAGAAACCGTGGGGTAGAGGTCGAGGACTGGGGAGCATTTCCCAGATGGACACCCACACCCCGGGTTCTATGCCCAGCACGAGACCCTTTGTGGGTCCCTGTCTCGTCCCACCCTGTATCCTGGAAGCTGTGCATTTGCTCCCATCAGTCAAGACCTAGTGCCAGCCGCAAGGGACGGGGCTGTGCAGCCCAGATGCGCGGCAGCCGCTCCGCCGATCCTGGCCTCAGCCGAAGAGCAGGGTGGCAGCAGGGCAGCTGGCACACGTGGGCGCTCGCCCTGCCTGGGGGCACGGCTCCCCCCTCCCACCGCCGCACCTGAGCCCGAGTGTGCCCCACCCAGGGCTGGCGCTGGCCTTCCACGACGGCAGCGTCCACATCGTGCACCGGCTGTCGCTGCAGACCATGGCCGTCTTCTACAGCTCCGCAGCCCCGCGCTCTGCGGACGAGCCGGCCATCAAGCGACCTCGGACCACAGCCCCTGCCGTCCACTTCAAGGCCATGCAGCTCTCCTGGACCTCGCTGGCCCTCGTGGGCATCGACAGCCATGGGAAGGTAGGCGCTGTCCGGGATGTGTCAAGGCCGCCTGCCCAGTGGACGGGAGCAGCCTGCAGCCTGCAGCCCGCCCACTGCCCCATCACCCACCATCAGGCCCGCCTGCCACCTCTGGGTTTAGCTCTCGCCCGACTTCTGGTCCTGTTTTCACGCCACCTGCCTGTCACTTCACCCAGGCACCGTTCCACAGGCCTGTCCTCCCGTGAGGAGCTTCATGTTCCTGGGGAACGAGGGGACCGCCCCCCGTTGGGATGTGGAGCCTGCAGAGTGGGTCCAGTCCCCCAGACGTGCCTTGCAGGCATCACGGAGCCTCTCGGCCGTTTCCGGGGAGCCCCACCCATGGCACTTGGCTCCTGGCTGCCAGCTGATGCTCCGCGTGCAGGGCTCTACCTGCCCAGCTGGCGGTGGGACAGCAGGCCGGGGCGGGGGGCGGGCGGTGTGGGGCCAGCGCCTCCAGCAGGCTGGCCCTTGACGTGCCTCACGGCCGCCCCGCAGCTGAGTGTGCTCCGCATCTCGCCGTCTATGGGCCACCCGCTGGACCTGAGCCTGGCCCTGCGGCACCTGCTCTTCCTGCTGGAGTACTGCATGGTGACCGGCTACGACTGGTGGGACATCCTGCTGCACGTGCAGCCCGCCATGGTGCAGAGCCTGGTGGACCGGCTGCATGAGGAGTACACGCGCCAGACCGCCGCCCTGCAGCAGGTGGGGCGCGCACCGCGGCCATGCCCAACCCCGTGGGCCCCGCTGCCTCTAGTCGCTCCGGGCGCCGGGGCGCGTGCTTGGGGCCTCGCCACAGTGAGCCACTGCATGACGGCCGCCCCGCGCCACTGCACCTGTGAGCCAGAGCGCTGTGGGGCTCTGGGTCCGAGTTCACGGCCTGCACAACGTGGCGTTGGGAGCGGGTGGCTGACCTCCACGAGCAGCGCCCATGGGACAGTGAAATGCGGGGAAAGGTCCCTTTCGGTAAAGCAGACTGGCAGGAGGCAGGTGCGACTGTCAGGGAGGACACGGGGACACAGCAGGAGCCGAGCCACGCCCCATGGGCCGGACCCTGTGGCGTTTCGGTGCCGTGCACATCTGCCGGTGCCATGGGCCCAGGTCCCCGTGGCACTGACACGGGCCAGGTCACTCTTGGCGGCCGTACTGGGCGCCACGGGGTGTCCAGCAGCATCCCTGGTCCCTGACTCGATGTCAGGGGCACCCCATTGTGCCCACAGATGTCCCAGACATGGCCGCAGTCCCCGGGAGCAGGGCCACTCGGGGTGACTGTCCTGCGAGGCGCGTCCTCTGCCGTGAGCCGAGGCACCAAGGCCTGGAGCAGGCGCCGCCACCCGCCCTGCCCGGCTGCTCCCGCGCCCCAGGCGCCCACACTCACGCCACACGCCCCCAGGTCCTCTCCACCCGGATCCTGGCCATGAAGGCCTCGCTGTGCAAGCTGTCACCCTGCACGGCGACCCGTGTGTGCGACTACCACGCCAAGCTCTTCCTCACCGCCGTCAGCTCCACCCTCAAGTCCCTGCTGCGCCCACACATCCTCAACACGCCTGACAAGAGTCCGGGCGACCGGCTGGCTGAGATCTGCGCCAAGGTCACCGACGTTGGTGCGGGACTGTGCGCGGTATTCCCTGTGGGCCGGGCCGCGGGCCGGGCATGGGGCTGGCAGACATGACCTGGGGAGCTGAGAAAGGAGGACGAGGCGGGCCGCGTCCCTCTGTGAAGGCCTGGGGACGGGGACGGGGGCGGAGTCGTGCGGCCCCAGCACAGCTGGGCCCAGGGCAGGGGGCGGTCACGCTCAGCCGGCAGGGACACCCCATGGCTCTGGGTCCAGCCTCTTCCTCTGAGGGCCCAGGCTGAGCTATCTGCCCCTGTGCTCATTCGGGGCTTAGGCTCGGCCCCTTCCTGGCCCCGCTCACCGTGGGCACCAGCGGGATGAGGGCTCGGTGTGAAGCGGGGTCTCCCACGTGCACGGTGGGGCCCTTCACCTCGGCCACCCTCCCTTTCAGACATCGACAAGGTCATGATCAACCTCAAGACGGAGGAGTTCGTCCTGGACATGAACACACTTCAGGCGCTGCAGCAGCTCCTACAGTGGGTGGGCGACTTCGTGCTCTACCTGCTGGCCAGCCTGCCCAACCAGGTGCGCCCGCCACCCCATCCCAGCACCCATCGAGGTCCTAGGGCGCTGCCGCGAGTGCGTTCAAGCCCCGCGCCTCTCCCCGCAGGGCGCCCCGCTGCGGCCCGGCCACAGCTTCTTGCGGGACGGCGCCTCTCTGGGCCTGCTGCGGGAGCTGATGGTCGTCATCCGCATCTGGGGCCTGCTGAAGCCCAGCTGCCTGCCCGTGTACACGGCCACCTCCGACACGCAGGACAGCATGTCCCTTCTCTTCCGCCTCCTGACCAAGCTGTGGATCTGCTGTGAGGCCCCAGCCCTCTGCCCACCCCTACCTCTGCCCACCCCTGGCCGGGCCCCCAGTCCCTCCCCAGCACCCAGCACCCTGCACCCAGCACAGGTTCAGGCACCGGGCAGCTTGCCTCCTGTCATCAGGCTGCTGTTTTTGGAGGGCTGGATTCTGTTGTTCTTGCACTATTCAGTGAATGAGTGGGTTCCTGTTTTAGAGGGGAAATTGAGGCTAGAGAGGGGAGGAGCTCCCAGGGCCACCCAGGAAGTCATGGCAGAGCCTGGCCCAAGCCTGGCCCCCGAGCTCCGAGCTGAGCCTGATGTCCCTCCCCCTGCCTGCAGGCCGTGACGAGGGCCCTGCGAGCGAGCCGGACGAGGCGCTCGTGGACGAGTGCTGTCTGCTGCCCAGCCAGCTGCTCATCCCCAGCCTGGACTGGCTGCCGGTCAGCGACGGCCTGGTCAGCCGCCTGCAGCCCAAGCAGCCGCTGCGGCTCCGCTTCGGCAAGGCTCCCGCCCTGCCCGGCAGCGCCACCGCCTGGCCACTGGACGGCCTGGCCAGGTGCGCGCCCTCTGCAGCCCCGTGTCGCCCCCAGCTCAACCTGCCGCCTCCGCCCGCGTGCCTCCCCTCGGGGCCTGTGCACGCTGTGCTTGCTGCTGTCCCCCAGGGACGTCCCCCGTCTCCCAGCACCTGCCACTCTGCTCCTCCACCTCGGGCTTCAGCGACTTGTGCACTCGTGTGTCTGACGTTCTCTCCGCTCTGGCGTGCAGCCGTGTACAGTGCCCCCGCGGCTGTCAGCTGCTGGGGTTCCAGCCCCCACAGAGGTCACGCTGATACCACGTAGCCTGAGCCGCCCACCATAAACCACCCCCGGCCTGGCCCAGGGCCCTGGAGATAAAGCAGTAAATCGGGCAGGACCTTTTCAGGGCTGAGGGCACTGCCTTTGGAAGGTGCTGGTCTGGACCCCACAGCACAGTGGGGTGGGTTTCGTCCCCATCTCATAGGCAGTGAGCACCTCAGAGAGCTGCAGTCACGAGCCACGGCCACGGCCACAGCCGGGCGGCCATCTGACCAGACCGGCAGGTTCCATCCTGCTCAATGCTCATTGTTTGAAGAGACACGTGACGTCCCCACAAAGCCTGCTCCTTTGGGCGGGCAGTCTGTCTTGCCTGCAGGCCCTCCTGGCACTTTGTCCCCTGGGTCTGGGTTTTAGAAAAGACTGCGTGAACGAGATCAGTCGCAGGGGACTTCTGGTCCTTGGTTTTGGAAACTTTCAAGCACGTTTCACACGAGTGTAACCACCCAGCCCACCCAGCCGCCAGGCCCCCTCCCGCAGGGTCTCGTGCTGCCAGGCTCTCGGTGCTGCGTGGGGGGCCCGGCACCTTCCGGGGTGGGGGGCAGGTATAGGTGCACAGTCATGAGCACACTGGAGCTCTGCCACGGTGGGCGTGTCTCGCACGCTTTGTCTTAGAGATGGCTCCGTGCCAGCACGTGTGCGCGTGTATCTGCTGTGCGTGGATGCTGGCATGTGTGTGGGCATGTGTGCGGGACCCTGACCTCTGCTTCCCTCATCCTCCAGGGCGCCAGGCCAGCCCAAAATCGACCACCTGCGGAGGCTGCACCTAGGCGCCCACCCCACAGAGGAGTGCAAGGCCTGCACCAGGTGAGCTGAGCCGTGGACCGCTTCCTCCGCCCCGCAACAAGCACAGCCCCTGCTCTGCCGCCCCTGGCCTTGGGTGTCCCCTCCGTGAGCCTCAGTGTCATCTTGGGGGGCTGCCAAGCAGGTCTCTGAGGGCTGAGCTGCCTCGAGAGGTCCGGGGCATCCTGGCTCAGTGTGCTGACGAACGGGGGACCATGCACCCTCGTAGCACGCTGGGTGACTCAAGGGCAGGAGTGCAGCATGGCCCGGCCCCACGTGGAGTCCCAGGCAGTGTCCCAGCCGGGACTGGGACCCTGCCCTGTGTCGCCACTCAGGGAGGGAGGGCCCCTGCTGAGCCAGACAGAAGGGCGGGCGGGAGCGAGGAGGTGCCGGGCGCAGCTTCCCGGTGAGGTGCCCCAGCTGCTCCCCGCTCTGCCTGCAGATGTGGCTGCCTCACCATGCTCAGGTCGCCCAACAAGACGACGGCCGTCCGGCAGTGGGAGCAGCGCTGGATCAAGAACTGCCTCTGTGGGGGGCTGTGGCGGCGGGTGCCCCTCAGCGGCCCCTGACCGGGCCAGGCCCTCGGACTGGCCCCCGGGGTCTGTGGGCAGGCGACGCTGTCCCATCGCGGGTGACAGCGTCCTGCACACTTGGGGCCTTCACCGGGTGTGTTACGATGATAGTTTCTGAAGTGTGACTTTTGGGGCCTTGTCAGCCGTGGCCAGTGTCCCCATGACAAGCCGGGCAGCCGAGGACATGGCCTGCAGCCGCAGGTCCGTGCCCCTTGGCCCAGTGACGTCAGTCCCTCTCCCTCGGAACCCAGTGGCGCATCTGGAGGACGGGCTGGCCGTGCTGAACCTCTGCCTGAGCTGGGCGCTGGGTACCACACTGGGCCTGCCCGCAGCTCACAGCCCAGGCACCCACCTCCCCAGGCCTCCAGGGGGCCCTCCAGATGGCCCTGGTCCTGGGTCAGAGAGTCCAGGACAGGCTGGGCATCTGTCCTTTAAAACGTCCCACATGAACCTGTTGGGTGTCGAGGAGTTGCTGCTGGTGGCAGCAGTCAGACCTGTGCCCATTCCGTCAGCTGCAGACGGGGATGTCGTACCTGTACATCTGGGTGGCTGTGACCCGGGTGGCCCAATAAACGTTCAGCTGGGTAGGGTCACCTGTATCTGGTGTGGCGGCCTCACCCAGCAGCCCCGCCCACTGCGGCTCCCTTGCCCCCATCACGCAGATCTAGTCTGTGTGACGTGTGTCGCTCCCACGTGAGCGTTTATGGAGCACCCGCTGTCTGCCAGGCGCAGTGGCCGGAGCTGGGCTGGGGCTCTGCCTGCCCACCTGGCTCCTTCAGATGAATTTCTGTCACTTGCCTCTGCTTCCTCTTCACCTGCCGTTCCCCCCATCCCCCAGCCCAGACCTGCTCAGCCTTGTTCCCCAGGGGACCCGCCTGTGCCACCAGCAGGCACTTGCCCGGACGGGTCCCGCTGCCCCAGGTTCCGGGCGTGGCGCCCATTAGGTGGTAGCTGGTTCTCAAGCCCTGCGTTTTCCTTCAGGAAGCTCCAGGGAGCTGGGTGAGGTGGGCCCCTGCGGAAGGCAGCGCCTGGGCTGCTGCACGCCTGTTGCCCTTTCGGGGGTCACAAGAGCTGTGGGGGTCTGTTTAAATCCTGCTCTGCGTGCCGGTCCCCCACGGCCCAGCTACTGCCATCTGCAGGGACCTGGAGCTTCGGGCCAGCGCCTGGGGGACAAGGAGGCTGGCCTTCTGTTGGATCGGTGGGTTCCTGGATGTCCAGCCTCACCTGCCCCCAGAGAAGCAAGGATCCCGAGGGTGGTCCCCCCACCCATGAAGGTGCACTGGGTGTGAGGTCGCCGCCCTGGGGACAGAGCCAGAGGACAGAATGGCCTTAAGCCCTGTTCTAAGAGTCAGGGGCTGTGGTTCGGGGAGTGGGAACAAGGCCTTTCCTCTGCCGAGGTGTCTGCCGGGTCCTTCCCGCCCACCGCACCGGGCTCTTTGAGGTAGATGGAGATGAGAAGCTGGTCCTTTGACAGCCACGTCACCCATGCGTCGTTGGGCCACCATCTACCCAGAGTCGCCCTGGCCAGGCCCACCGGAGCGAGGATGCCTCCACATGACCCCAAGTCACCTGGACACAGTGAGAAGGGATAAGCCACCTGAATCCCAGAAACAACATGAGAGAGCTGGGTGCTGGTTCCGTGTCACTAAGTTCAGGTGGCCTTTTGGGCGGCAGGCCACCAGAACATGTTGTAAATTGCTGAGCGAGCCCAGTGGGCAGAGCGAGCCGGGGGGCTGTCCGGGAGCGTGCTCGTGGGGGACACATGGGGTGGCCTCCTGCCGTGGCACCCGGGGTGTTTGAGGGTGGGAGCTCTGTGGGTCAAGATGCTCCGAGTCACCCCTTACCTGTCCCCAACCTGGGTGTCTGTGCAGTTCCCACCTCTGGGGAAACAGCGGCAGTGCTGCGGGACGATGCCGTTGAGTCCAGTGGGCTGCGCCTGTCCCGTGTCCCCAGCTGCAACCTCGTAGCCTCCTTAGAGGTTGCACCCAGTGGCCACAGCGCTCCCCGGCTTCTGCCGCCTGCCACTCACTCTCCACTTTGGCCTCCGGAACCTTCCATGGTTCCCGCTGACCACAGGATGGGGGTGACCTACCCGGGGAGTTGTGGAGTCTAACGTGAACCCCACATCTGACTCCCAGCCCGGGTCTGCTGGGGCACGGGCGTCCAGAGATAGAAGTGGGAAGCTGAGCCTTAGTGGGGTTCAGCCAGGGGCAGGGCCACTGCTAACTCTGGTCACTCTGCCCTTCCACCAGTGGGCGGAACACACCTGCTGTGGCTGGGAGGGGCTCTGCGAGGTCAAAGGGCCCCACCCCAGGGCTCTGGTTCCCATCACAGCAGGAGCCCCCAAGAGGGGGGCGGGGGGCACCGGCTCCTTGGGGTAAATGGCCTTTGAACCTGTCTCCTGCCAGCCTCTGCCTGGGCTGCGCCTACCGCCTGGACATCCTGTTCTGCTGGGCCACCCCACAGACCCTCTTCCGCCCCCAGATCACACCCCGCCCTTCGGGCCAGGCAGTGGGCCCAACTTCACAGCCATCAGCCCACACACAGGGGACGGTCCAGTTCCATCTGTCCCCACCAGCGTTGCCACAGAAAAGGTAGGATGCCCAGTAGATGTGACTTTTGGATCAGCAGTCGATACTTTTTTAGTTCGAGCCTGTCCCAAGTGTCACACGGGATATAGTATAAAACATATTTGTTCCCTGAAAGTCCCACTCACTTGGACAGCCTGTGGTTATATTTACTAAGTCTGGTCTCCCTCCTCCCTCCCCCATCCCCAAACTGAAGTCACACCCTGGCTTGTCATTTCATTCTGGAAATACCTACCGGGTGACTGAGCCTTTGATGCTGACTAACTGGTGATTCTGCCTCCCTTCCCCTTACTCAAATGTGCATGATTTCTTACATTGCACATGGAATTCGTGAGCACACCGAGGAGAGCGTCACGGCCACCTCACAAAGCCCGAATGAGCAACATTCTGTGCAACAGAGTGTGAGCCGCGAGGGGGCCGGCTCACAGGGGACCTCCGTAGATGCTCACGTGTGAATGAGTGACCGGCCACGAGGCTACCCGGACAGGAGCAAAGCACCACCACAGGCCCAGGTCCCACAGCTTCAGATGCTCGGGCTCTTTTCCCAAAAGGGAGGTCACAAATGCCCTTTGTGGACCAGGCTTAACGCCTGGAACGGGGCCTCAAGGGTTCCTCACCCAGGCAGGAGAAAGGGCACAGGGCCTTGGCATTTGGGTTCTTAGACTCTGTCACCTCCTTGTCATTGCCCAGAAGGAGGGCAGCCAGTCGGGACAGAGCTGGATGGCGGTTCTGAGACACCCGTCAGCCTCTTTCTATGACCCAGCCCAGGGGACGCCTACGGACGCAGCTGTCATGGCTCTGGGTGCGAATCTGGACTTTGTCTAGGAGCTTCCGGGTGATCTCAGGACAGTCGCCTGGCTTCTGGAGCCCATCACTTCGCTTGCGGTGTGATCATAAGTACCCATTTAGAGCCTCTGTATACGTATACCTCAGCCCAGAGCAGGGTCTTGCACACAGTAGGCCCTCACGTTCCACTTGGAAAGCAAAGGGAGAGCTGGACATTAGCCAGATCAAGGAGACACCCCCACGCGGGTCCCTCCCTGCGACCCGGGTCTCCTCTCGCCTCCTAGGGACGAGGGCGCCACCGTGTGGCCGAGATGCGGAGCGGCTTCTGGAGGCTCCGGCGCGGCGGAAGGGCGTCGGGTTTGCAGGGGCTGGGCCCCCAGGTTCTCCGTGTGCCAGCCTCCCCGTCACCTCCTGGCACCGCGTTAGCCGCGCAGGCGCCCTTCGTGGCCTGCGCCTCCCGGGTCTGGCCGCCGCCCCCGTGCCCCGCATGCAGCGTGTGCTCAGGCAAGGCCCACCGCGTCCAAGCGGGGCGTGCAGGCGCCGCGGGACCCTCCCTCCCGCGAGCAAACGAACGCATGCGACGCAGACCTGCTGCTCCTGCGACACGAGCGAGGGCCGAACCAATCGCTTCTGGACAAAAGATGAGACTGAGACGAACAGCGGAGGCTGGGGCCGCGGGGCGGGGGTGGCAGGGAGGGGCAGTGCGCGTGGCTGATGCCCCTCCACCTCCACAGGGCGGGGGCTCTGGCCAGGGCCGTCGCCCACCCGCAGGGTCACTGCAGCACGTTCTGGACACACCGTGGAGCCCACGTCGGCCCCAAATGAAGGGAGCAGGCAGGGCCACAGGGCATAACCGTGCACACCCGGCCGCACCCCCCAGCGCTGTCCTCGCGGGCCAGCGCCCCTGATGCCCCAGGCACCCGCTCGGCTCCTCCAAGCCTGCGGCCTACGGAGGCCGCTGATACACCGGGCCACTTTCCCAGGGATGGAAGAGACGGCTACTTTGTCTAACTCACATGAGTAGAAAGTCAGGCAAATGGAAGTCCAGAGACTCTCTCTCAAATGAAGGAACAAGAAAATCCTCCAGAATGAAACCCCAGGGAACCGAGAATGAGTAATCTGCCTGCCATGGGCTAGAGGGACTTCGGGAGAACTCCAACAGAGTTAGAAAGTATGAGAGAACTGGGCAGAGCTGAAAATACAGTTACTGAAATGAGCTGAAGATACAGTTACTGAAATGAAAAGACACGAGATTAGCTGACACAAGAACAGACCAGGACCTGGAACACAGACTGGTGCCAACCAACCAATCAGGACGGCAAGAAAAAAAAAAAAATGAAGGGATCTCTGGAACAACATTAAGCACTGAAACATTTGCATTATCCGGGGCCCAGAAGAAGAGAGAGGAATGGACACTTATTTGACTTAAAGAAATAGTGGCTGAAAATTTTCCTGACTTTGTAAAGGAAACGGACACCCAGGTCCGGGAAGCACAGAGAGTCCACACAAGATGAACCCTGAGATCCGCACCGAGACGCCCCAATGAAAATGGCAAAGGTGAGAGGCGAAGGCAGTCTTAAAAGAAGCCAGGAAAAGCAACAGTTACATAGGAAGGAAATCTCTAAGGAACTCAGCTGACTTCTCACAGAAATAAACTCAACATGGGTTAAAGGCTTAAATGCAAGACCTGAAACCATAAAATTCCTAGAAGAAAACATAGGTAGTAAACTCTTTGACATCGCTCTTAGCAATATCTTTTTGCGCAACAACAGAATAAATAAATAGATTATATCAAACTAACAAGTTTCTGCACAGCCGAGGAAGCTATCAACGAAATGAAAAGATAATCTACTGAATGGGAGAGGATATTTGCAAATGATTTCTCCAAATAAGGGGTGAATATCCAAAATATGTAAAGAACTCATAGAACTCAACATCAAAAAAAAAAAATCTAATTAAAAATTTGGCCGAGAACCCGAATAGACATTTCTCCAAAGAAGACATATAGATGGCCAATAGACATATGAAAAGATGCTCGATGTCACTAATCATCAGAGAAATGCCAATTAAGGCCACAGTGAGAGCTCACCTCACACCTGTCAGAATGGCCATCGTCGATAAATCAACACACGACAAGGGCTGGTGAGGACGTGGAGAAAAGGGGGCCTCGTGGACTGGTGCTGGGACCGCAGGTGGGTGCAGCCACTACGGAACGCAGGGTGGACGTGCCTCACACAATTTACGATAGAACCAGCAAACGACCCAGCAATTCCACTTCTGGGTATTTAGCCAAAGAAAACAAAACCATTTATTTGAAAAAAAAATATGTGCATCCCAAATATTCATTGCAGCACAACTAGTAATAACCAACACATGGAAGCCACCTAAGTGCCCATCGACAGACGATTGGACAAAGAAGAGGTGGCACACATAGGATGGATGAGTGAAGTAAGTCAGACAAAGAAAGATAAGTATCATATTGTTCACTTCTATGTGGATTCTAAAAAACAAAGTAAATGAACAAACGAAATAGAAACAAAACATAAAATAAAGGCTGACGGTATGCAAAAGTAGATGACTTTATTGCTCCTGGTGACCCCACTCTTAGGCCCTCCTCAGGCGGCCTCAGCCGCGGCCATCACACCGTCGATCCAGGCCGCATAGCTCGCCACACGCGTGTAGATGCCAGGCTTCTTGGGGTTGCCACACACGCGGGATCCGGAGGTGACTATACCCACGGCGATGCCCCCGCACACCAGCGGGCCCCCGGAGTCACCCTGCATGACCCAGGGTCGTGAGGCCTGGTGCACCCCAGCAGGACCCCCTGTCCTCCTGCGTCCACTTGCCGCTCTGCCAGTGCAATTCCTGTTTCTCGCTCCGGCATCAATCCGCCCCCGCCCCGCCCACCGCCGCAGGCCCCACCCACCAGGGCCCCGCCTCCCCGGCGCATAGCCCCGCCCCCGTGTTGGCCCGCCCTCCCGGGAGCCCCGCCCCTCGGTCGGCCCCGCCTTCCAGGGCCTCGCCCCGCCCCGCACCTTGCAGCTGTCGCGGCGGTGGCTGCTCTCAGCGCACATCATGCGCTCGGTGACGGTGCCATCGTGGTACCTGCGCAGGTTGCAGGTGGCGCGGTCCAGCACCGGCAGGGTCAGATACTGCAGGCGGTCTGGCTGGCGGCCCGTGTGGCTGACCACGCCCCAGCCGGCCACGTCGCAGAGCGTGCCGGCGGGCACGTCGCGGTCCTCGCGCTGCCAGGGCAGGGTCTTCACCGTGGGGCCCAGCGTGGCCTTCTCAGACAGCTGGTGGGGGGGGAGGAGGCGGGAAGGCAGGTGTCAGGGTCAGGGGTCCGGGGGTGCATACGTAGAAGGAGGGACTGTGGCTAGACTCGGTGGGACCCGGGTGGGGGAGGTGGGCGTAGGGACGGGGTCTCCGGAGACCTGCAGCAGGAGGAGGTCGTGGTCAATCGTGTCGCGCCTGCTGTCCGGGTGGGGCACTGCGCGCAGCACGTCGTACAGGCGCTTGGAGGACTCCGGCTGCGACAGCGAGTGTGCGCCCAGGAGCACCTGTACCTTCCCGTCGGTCCTGGGGGCGGGGTCCACGTCAGAGACACGTCCCCACCGCACCGAGGCCCTTCCCCGCTCTTTGGCCCCGCGGCCCCCTTCCCAAGCGCCCAGGCCACTCACACGTCCTCCAGGCAGTGCGCGGCGCTCAGCACCCACTGCTCCGCCAGCAGGAAGCCGCCGCACACGTGCTTGCCATTCACCTGCACGGAGGCCATGTAGGGCCGCTGGTGGGACGCCGCCTCTCTGCCCCCCAGGATCCGGCCGCGGGGCTGCGCCGCTGGGGGTGGGCGGGTGGGCATGAGGACTTGGGGGATGACTGCAGCCCAGCCCTCGGACGCCCCCACACCCCAGGCCACTCCAGCACCCCCCCCACACACACGGAATTCCGTTGTTAGAACCCTCCCCTCCCCCGGGTTTGCAAACTCAGATGCCTGGGAGGCCTGGGGACCACAGGGAGTGGCGGGTCTGGGGCACATTCCACCCTACACACTGAGCCTCACGCTTCGAGTTAAGGGAAGCGGGGCTGACCAGACCGACTCGGCCCGCCGGCCGCTGGCCCGACGGAGCTGCTCCTTCTTCCCTCTGTGGGGCAAGGCACAGGTTCAGATCCAAGTTTTGAAAATTCCTGGACTTCCAGAGACTTCCACCTGGATGCTGACCCCTGGTCCTGGGGCTGGGAGACAGTCCTGTGTGACGGCGGGGCCCCCCACCTGTCGCCGCAGTCCCAGGTCCACTCACCGCATAGGGCTACTCCTAGGAGCATCAGAGCTGCCAGGCGCCGGGAAAGGCCCGCCATGATGCCGCTGTGGTCTGGACACTGACCGGGCGGGGCCTGCGCTCTTATGCCGGTGGAGGGGGGCCCAACCTGGGGGTAGGCAGTAGCCTAGCTGGGAAAGGGGACCCCGCCCCTCTGCTCCCACCCTCCTCAGGAGGGGTTATCTCCTGCTGGACTTTGCACCCCAGGGGGGTACCTCCCGCGTCTGTGCACCTGGCCCAGGGCCGGCCCTGGTGTAGGGAGCAGCCCCCCCGGGGGGGGGGGCGCGTGCCCAGCAGAGGGACGACCCGCTCCAAACTCCTCCCCCAGTCTCCCCAGCGCACCCTTCCAGCCCCCAGGTTTCGCAACGACGGCTGGAGGCACAGCCTGTAAACAACCCACTTCCTCATTTCTCTGCGGCTCCTTTCTTTCCCTCCTCCCACTTGGAGAGGAAATCTGTTAGGGGTGGGAGGAAGGTCACCCCACACCCTGTCCTGCTGCTGTAGCTCTGGAGCCTGACACCCCCAACAAGCAGAACGTTGGAAAGGTGGTGTGTCGGGGCAGCTGGAAAGACTGTGCCTTCAACACGCAAATTTAAATGGAAAGTTCAGGGTCCACCTGCAGGTGTGGCTTGATCCAGGCACCTTGAGCTATGTCAGGCTGCTGTCTCTGGTTTTGCCTTTCCTCCTTGATGGCTTCTCTGCTCACCAGGCTGCCCTGCTGTGACCCCAGGGGCCGCACACTCCACCCCGTAGTGGCTTGGTGGGCCCCTCCCCAAATTCCCCATCACTCTAGCCAATGTCCCCAGGCTGCCTCTGATTGGCTGAGCTTGGGTCACGTGCCCCTTTCCAGACCGATCCCTGCTGGCAGGGGATGGCAGGTTATGATAGGTCACATGCTTCTGGGTCACGTGGACCTCTGTAATGTGGGGATGGTCGGCCAACATCTCATGAAACTATGGGGGGGGTGCTGGGACGGGAAGGGTGGGGTGGACCCCAGATGACCCCAGTGGGAACAGTACACAGTACTTTCCTGTTTTTTTTTCCCTCTTCTCACAGTGGATTACTTCATACATACAGAAAAGAACAGAAAACAGCAACGTGATCTGTTAGATCCTAACACATTTCCTCATTAAGATCAGAAGTTCTGAACAAAAGCCCATGAGGATATATGGAGTCCAGATTATGTAAGTGTTAGAAATTGTAGAAAATTTGGAAACGTCCCGGGAAGATGGGGCTGTTCAATAAATAACCCTGACTGTCCCCAGATGCCATGCGCACGTGGGAGGACCGCCTGGGTCTAAGGTGGAAAAAGCAATTGCGTGACCACCGACCCTTGGGGGCAGGTGAGATGAGGGGACAGCCTGCAGGAAGAGCAGTCGAGCGAGGGAACAGACAAGGCAAAGGCCCTGAGGGGGACCCAGGCTTCTGAGCTCCAGCTGGGGGCCAGGGGACAGAAAGGGAAAGGAGATTATCCCAAAATCATCGTGGCAGGGGCGATGTGACCTGGTGTTATTTTCTGTCATTGATTTGCTTGCTTGGGTAACCGTTTCCTTCCCCACCATCAAGACGGTGAGGTGAGCTGGGTGATGGCGGAGGCCACGTCTGTCGTGGTCCTCGTCTGTGGCCCCAGAGGGCTCCTTCCGCAGCCCAGGAAGGCAGGAGAGGGGCACAGGTCTGTCAGCTCCCTCAGGGCTGCGACTTCCATGGGGCCTGTGAGATGCCTTGGGAATCGTCCGCTCTGCCCCTACCCCAGTGGGTGACAGAGCAAAAGGCTTGTGCGGTGGGGACGGCTCATCTATCACCAAGTGAGACCCCCAAACGCCCCTGGGCCCTGACCGAACAACACCTCAGAGGGAAGCGGAGGCTCAGAGACGGCAAGCAGAGTCCAGAGTCAGAGCTGGGGCTGGGAGCCAAGCTCGCGAGCCCCGCCTCGCCTCTCGCACCTCGACTTCCCCGCCTGCAGATCCGGGCACTGATGGGACCTGCCTCAAGGGCCGAACGAGCGTGCGCGTGCACCTGGGATGCGCTCGGCAAACACCTGCTACGGCGCTTTGTGCCCTGGCCACCTGCAAAGCTAATTTCATCACGCAAAAGCGGGTTTCACGGGAGGGAAACGGAAATGGCACCCGGCATCCTTTCCTGGAGGGCGGGGAAGGAACGTCTTACCCTAACGCCGCGACTTTGCTGCCACCTGGTGGCAGCGTCCTCGCGAGACGCCCCGGATGCTCACTCTCCTGACTACTTTTAATCCCCAATTGCACAACCAACAACCACCCAGACACAGTCTACAAAACAGAGAGGGTTTTTATTGTGCCAGACGCTGCATGATGCAGCGTGGGACGGGCCCAGCCCGGGGCAGGTGAGGTGGGGTGACAGGGGCAGCCCTTTCTAGTGGGTCCTGCTCGCTGGGGCCCTGGGGTGGACACGGGGTTGGTCGCTGGAGCCGCGGATGATGGATTCGATCCAGTTTGCATACTGCGCGACAGGGGCAAAGGCGTCGGGGTACAAGCCGGAGCCGCATCTTCCCACGATGAAGGAGTCGATCCCGTGGACCAGCCCGTTGCAGACCAGCGGCCCGCCGGAGTCCCCCTGTGGGCGGAGCCAGGCGAGGTCAGGGGCTGGGCTTCCGGGACCCCGCCCACCGCCCACGGGGTCGACAGCCCTCCGTGGGCCCTGGCCGCAGGCCCGACTGCTGCGCGCGGACGGGAGTGGGGGCGGGCGCAGGCACTTACGAAGCAGATGCCCGCCCGCCGGCGGGGCACCAGGGTGCACACGTTGGTGCGGCGGCATTGGGCCGTCACCACGGTGACGTTGAGCTGCTGCAGCACTCTGGGTATCGGCCGGTTGGTGCCCAGCTGGCCCCAGCCCATGGCCAGGCACCGCACGCCGTTGCCCACGCCTTGGTCCTGCCGGGGCAGCTGGGCCACGCGCACGTTGGCGTTGATGGTGGCCGACCCGTTGAGCTGCAGTGGGCAGGACAGAGCACCAGGGGGTCGCGCGGGGTGGTGGGCACCGACCCTCCGCCCTTAGGGACTTGGTTTCCCCACATGAGGCCCCACCGTGGTTCTGGGCACCCACGCTGTGAGATGCTCCCCGCCCCCCCAGGGCCTCAGTCTCCCCAGCTGTGAAGTAGGAGCAGCCGCAGTGGCTCAGGGCGTCCCTGGACGTGTCTTGAGAGCAATAAACAGTGGGCTCTCAATACAGCAAACTATGGGTAACATCAATGACGGCAAGACAGCCTGTTAGAGAACATCTCGGACAGTAACGATGACTCTGCCAGCCGTGGAGAAGGGACGGTTTCCTTCTCCAGCCTCCCCTCGGCCCGGCGTGGGGAATTTTGCCCCATTTCATTAAGACAGGTCGCAGGTAATCACCACGGCCCTGCCAGGTGGGGCTCACGTCGCCAGGTTACCACAGGTGGAGGCGGAGGCAGGAAGACGGCCTGCCCAGTTAGAGCCCCGTGTGACCTCAGTCTCTGCCCCTCCCCCGAGCCTCCGCCCCCGCCCCCCAGGCCTTTGCACCTGCCGCGCACCCGGGCGCCCCGCCCCTCCGCTGCCCCGCAGGCCCCACCTGCAGGAGCACGATGTCGTTCAGCAGCTCCCTGGCGTTGAAACCGTTTTCAAAGACCCGCTGGACGGCGAAGATCTGCCGGGTGGACTCCCGCTGCCTCAGGTTGTGTGCCCCCAGCACCGCCTGCACTGTCTGGGAATTCCTGCAGGCGGCGCGGGTGCGGGAGGGGACTCGAGGTGGCCCCGGGGAACTGGGGCAGCAGACAGACCCCAGAGCCCAGCAGAGCGGAGCCCCACGCCCACGGGAGCCACGCCCACGGGAGCCACGCCCACGGGAGCCACGCCCCCGGGGCAGGTATCTGGGCCCACTGGTTGAGCGCCCCCTCTTGGGCCGTTAGTGGGGTCCCCTGGAGGAGCCTGGGCCCTGGCCTCATCCCCCTTTGACAGACGCGGAGAAGAAGGGTCTGAGGACTGAAGACGCCCACCCGAGGGGTCACTCACATGCTGTTCACACAGTGTGCGGCCGACATGACGAAGTTGGGGGCCACCAGGGTACCGCCGCAGAAGTGGCCTCCTCGCCGCTGCAGGGACACCATGAAGGGCCAGGCATGGGGCTGGGCCGGCCGGCCGCCCACGATCTCAGAGGCCAGCGTGGGGCCTAGGGACACCGGGGGTCAGGGACGGTGGGTGCCGCGGGGGCGCCCACCCCTCTGGGCCCGTCTGCCCTCGAGCCCCCACAGGTCAGGGCCCTTCACGTGCTTGTTGCCAGACGAAACCGAGGCACAGAGCGTGGCCGGGCTCCGTTCAGCTCTGGAACCCTGGGCCCACACCCTGGGCTCCCCGGTCCTCACCACTCTGACCTCAGGCTCCTCCTCCAGAAGCGAGCCTCCCCATCCCAGCCACCACCGCCCCCCCATGAGGACGAGGGGGCCCTGCTGTTGAGGGCACAGTGGGGAGGTGGGAACGGACACCCAGGGACAGATGGACAGACATGTGGCCCCACTCACCACCGAGCAGCACGGCCAGCAGGATGCAAGGCAGGGCCGGGCTGGAGAGTCCACCGCGTCGGTCCATGGCCAGGAGGGGCTGGTGTCTGCCCCGTGCCCACCGGGTCCTCTTATGGCCTGGTGGGGGAGCGGGTGCATTGCCCCACTTCCTCCCCAC